TTCCTGGCAGTGAGATGTGGTTCAGAGTGATCCAAAGTGGAATTAGTTGTGGGTGGGAAGTAGTTGTCAAAGAAGAACCAGAGTTTTTCATAAATGTAGGAGAGTTGAGGTCTGTATTTTAAAAGGTAGGATTGGGAAAGTCCCAGCAATCAGTGACAACTACTTGCATCAGGGAGAAGGTGAGGGCAGAAGAGAACCTCCTAATATGTGCACTGCAGCCTTCTGATTGGCAGGGAACCAATGGATTGGTCTGCAAGGCATGGGCAGATTAAATCCTTTTTCTCCAGAGGAACGGTTCCTCTTGAACCTCCACTTGCCCCAGTGTAGTGCTCCCATGGGGAAGAGGGTTTGCTTTGTAATAGGACTTCTGTTACCATTCCTAAGTATCTAAATGGATGGCAGCCAGGTTTAACTTTGAGTCAGCATAATGGGATTTTAAAGTTAGAGCATGACCCTCCATTCCATTTTTCTGCTCTAAATAGAAATCATATTCTGATTGTTCCCTTTCCTGGGCACAATAATGCAGATTTAAGTTCTTCATTCATGCCCCCCAAAATAGCTGATTTTTTTTTGTTCTTCATTTTCTCCCCTTTAAAAAAGTAAAGCAGAGAAAATGGGAAAGTGTTCTTTTTTTCCTAAAATTTGAAGAATCAAAGAAATGCCCTTTTCAGCTCAAACTGTAATTATGGGGCCAAGAGACTTGTTAGCTCCACTGTCTACTATCATCTTTTAAAGAAGTTTTAAAAATTTGTTCTAATTAGTTATACATGATAGTAGAACACATCATACATAAATGGTTTATATCTTCTCATTTTTCTTGTTTACATGATGTAGAGTTATATAGTCATGTGATCATATATGCACATAGGGTTATAATGTTTGATTCATTCTACTATCCTTCTTGCCCATACACTCTCTCCCCTCTTCACTCCCCTCTGTACTAATCCAAGTACCTCCATTCTTCCCTAGTCCCCCCACCCCCTTATTGTGAATTAGCATCTGAATATCAGAGAAAACATTCAACCTTTGGGTTTTGGGGATGGCTTGTTTTTCTTAACATGATATTCTCCAGTTCTATCCATTTACCAGCAAAGACCATAATTTTATTATTCTTTAAGCTGAGTAATATTCCGTTATGATTCCATGCCCTACTTTCTTTATCTGTTAATCTGTTGAAGGGTACCTAGGTTGGTTCCATAGTTTAGCTATTATGAATTGTGCTGTTAGAAACATTGATGTGACTGCATCACTGAAGTTGCTGATTTTAAGTCCTTTGTGTATAAACCAAAGAGTGGGATAGCTGGGTCAAATGGTGGTTCCATTCTAAGTTTTCTTGAGGAATCTCCATACTGCTTTCTGTAGTGGTTGCACCAATTTGCAGCCCCATCAAGAATGTATGAGTGTGCCCTTTTCCCCACATTCTTGCCAACATTTATTGTTGCTTGTATTTTTGGTTATCGCCTGTATCATCTTTTAAAAACAGTATTATTTTAATTCTATAAATTCATGGGTACTGTGTGACAATTTATGCTTACACAGAGAACATAATGTTCAAATCAGGGTAGTTAACATTTTAATCTCAAACATTTCAAACTTTAAATGAACACAATAATTGTACATGTTTATGTGCCACAGTGTGATATTTCAATACATGTATACAGTGGGTACTGATCAAATCAGGACAATTAATATTTCCATTTTCTTCTCACTACCTTATAATTGGGGCCTTTGCACTTTTCTCTCTGGTTAGACATAAAACATAATAGGTCACTGCAAAGACTTGTCCCCCAACTCTTTTGTAGAGCACCAGAACGTATTACCACTATCTAACTCTTTTGGTACACATTATCCAATCTCCCACTACCTACCCCTCAACACTTCTCAGCCTCTAGTAATCACTGTTAAACATTTAGATTAACTTTTAAAAACATACATGCATAAAAACATGGAGTTTGACTTTTTTCTCTTAATGTAATACCCTCTAATTCTACCCTATTTGCTGTAAATGATGAAATATCATTCTTTTGTGGCTGAATAATATTCCATTATATACAACTGTGTGTATATAGCATAGCTTCTTTATCCTTTCATCCACTGATGGCATCTGGGTTGATTTCATATCAGCTACTGTGAACAGTGCATCCATGAATGTGGGTGGCAAGTATCTCTTTTATATGCTGATATCATTTCCTTTGGAGATATACCCAGAAGTGGATTATATAGTAGATCTACTTTTAGTGCCTCCATCTGTTCTCCATATGACTGTATTAGTTTGCATTCCCATCAATAATGTATGAGAGTTTCCTCTCACTCAAATCCTTGCCATCATTTGTTTTTTGTTTTTTGTTTTTTGTTTTTTTTTTTTGGTGATGACCACTCTAACTTTGGTGAGATAGTATTTTTTGAGTCTTATGGCACTGATGGCTAATTAAGTTGAGGGATTTTTTTCCCATGAATTTGTTGGCCTTTTGAATTTATCCCTTTAAAAATAGACATGCAGACTAGTGGAACAGAATACATTCAGAAATAACCCTATGTACTTACAGGCAAATGATTCTCAACAAAGGTGCCAAAAACATATGTTGGAGAAAGGAGAATGTCTTCAATAAATAGTGCTGGAAAAACTGGATATTCACTAGGAGGGGATTTAAATTTGACCTCTATTTCTTGGTATGAAAATAAACTTGAGGATTGGGGTTGTAGCTCAGTGGTAGAGCACTTGCCTGGCATGTGGGAGGCCCTGGTTTTATCCCCCATAACACAAACAACAACAAAAAATGACAATGAGAACCGAATGGGTAAGAAACTCAAATGTAAGATCTGAAACTATGAAACCACTAGAAGGAACCAGAGAAAACATCTTGTGACATTAGTATAGGCAATGACATTTTTCATAAGACCCCCAAAATACAGGGAATAAAAGTAAAAATAGACAAATAGGATTAGTCAAACTGAGAAGCTTCTATGCAGCAAACTTGCCATAGAGGGAAGAGACAGCCTGCAGAATGGGGGAAAATTTTTGCAAACGATGAATGTGACAGAAAGTTACTATATGAAATATACAAGAACTTAAAATACTCAATAAGAATAGCCACATAAACAACAACATCATCAATACAAAGTACTCCACAAATAACCCACTGTGATGCCAGGGCAGATTTGTTGCTCAGAAGAGCAGATTCTGAAGAGAAGGGGACTTTGAACTACTCCGTTCTGACAAGGCAGAAGGGGACTCCAAAATGACCCAGTTTCTCTCTGGCTACCTCTGCATTGCGTTGTGGACCAGGGTTACTCAGTCAGGGTCACTGTGATTTCAGCTGATCTTCTAATTAGTGGCCTAAGTGAAATATATTTCACTTATATATTCCCTAAGATGATGCTGATGTTGTGAAGTGAAAATGACAAGGTTCTTTCTCTGTGACTGGGATGAAGTGTGAGAATTTGGTTTGAATCTACGGTGAACTACCACATCCAGAAACGTGATTGGTGGGTGGTTGGAGGCCTCCACTTCCTCCTCAGGGAGCACATTTATATTAGTACCATTTTGCATGGGAGGGTGGTAATTTGTCTCAAATAACTTGGAGGTTTTCCCTGGGTGTGGAAGTTGGTATTTCTGATGTCACTCTTAAGCTAATCACCTGATGATGCTTAGCAGGCAGTTGGGCTCCTGGTTCTGAAGCCTGGAGCAGAGGTCTGAGCTGTAGCTCCAGATTGAGGTGAAGAGAGGAGGAAGGGAAGTGTCAGGTTCTAGTTGGTGGCTTGTCAGTCTGGCTGTGTGGTGCCATCCCTGGCTGAGTTGTGAGCCTTGCCAGCGCCCAGTCTGATACAGACATTTAAGAAAACAGCTCTGCTAATTTTTTTTTAAGGTGGACACAATATCTTTATTTATTTATTTATTTTTTATGTGGTACTGAGAATCAAAACCAGTGGCTCATGCATGCTAGGCAAGTGCGCTACCACTTGAGCCACATCCCCAGCCCCAGCTCTGCTAATTTTAACCAAGATTCATTTTTGGACTTTTGACTTCTGGAACTTCAAGAAAATAAGCTTATTTTGTTAAGTTAAAAAAAGTTGTCAGACCTCTGGCCAGTTATGTTTTAGCCTCAGTTTCTTCATCTGTAAAATGAGATTCTGGCCCCTTTGCAATTTTGTGATCTGTTGTGAATTGATGGTTTATTTTTTGTCTCCTCTTCATGACGTGATGCCCACTCTTTCCCCTTCCCTCATCTATATGTTTTCCTGATGGGCCAGGAGAGCAAGGCAGCAACATTTTATTTGCTTATCCTGAAGATGTGAATTGAAATGGAGCCTTAAATTGTCTAATTCTGAATCTGTGAGTGGATCAACTAAAGGGGGAGCCTCCAAACACTGAGTCAAAAGACCATGCTAAAATGCTACATCCTTACCACTATTCTGCAAACTTATAGTTTAATGGGGCAAAAATAATTGCATCTATGTTTCTAGCACATTTCATGAGTGCTTTGCCTCATGGATTTACCAAGATTTTAATCTAGAACAAATCTCTCTTGGTTTTTCAGAAGATCCTCTTTATAGCTTGAGTTAAGTATGTTTTTATGTAACAAAAACCTTGTGTGCATCTTCTAATATGTTGCCAGAGTGAAACAAATTGCACTTGGTGTTTGATTGGTGGTGGTTTGAGTTCATGAAAAAAGGTAAGATAAAGAAAAAGCACATAGCAAAAGCAACAGAGGTTGTGTAACTCATTAAACTATGTTTATGGGTTTACTTGTCAGAATTTTGTAACAAAATGGTTTTTCTGGAGTCTGTTTATCAGTATTTGTCACTAATTAGTGCCTACAAATTACCCTTTTATGGGAGTCATGTCATCCTGGTGTCTTAATAATCAGAGCTGTAACTGCTCACGTGCTTTGCTGTTGTTAGGTTTTGCTTGTGCTTTTCTTTCTGGTGCATCTCATGGTTCCCTCTCTTCCCCAAAGATTTCCAACAACTGTGACTCCATTTTCATGAATGGGAAGGAAATGAAGAGTAAAGTGGACATGATAGTAAACTTCACCCAGCAGCACTTCACTTCCCAGGTGGAAGTCACTGTCTGGGAGCCCCGACTCCCCTTGCAGATTGAGATCTCAGACACAGAGCTGAGCCAGATAAAGGGTTGGAGGATCCCGGTGGCCTCCAACAGAAGGTGAGGACCATACCACAGTGGGTTACAGTGGTCTGTGCTTGGGGTTCAGATAAGTCTGACTTGGGACTCACTCACATTTTAGTATTAACACCTTCTAGAGTAGTTGTGAGGATTCAGTGAGATGATAGGTGTGCCTAGCATGGGGCCTGGCATTGGCTCAGCTGTTTTCCATCCCTATCTCACTCCCATTCATTCTTGTGTTTCTCTTCCTTAGTCTCCCTGCTCATGGATCTTGGTCATTTCTCATGGACACAATGCAGGGATTAAGACTGTGAGCTCTGGAGTGAGGCTGACTGAGTTTTAAACCCTGGTTTTCCCACTTAAACTCTGTGAACTTGTGGCTTCACCTGTCCATTCCTCAGTTTCTTTATCTGAATTGAGAATAATATTACTGAAAAGTTGTCCCAAGAATTCAGTGATGTGATGCGTACTCCAATAGAGTTAATTCTAAAGATGAACTGCTTGCTCTCCAAGATTCCCATCACCAAACACTAATCTGATAGGGTGGTGAGGGGACTTCAGAGTAATAGCTACAAACAACTGATCAATGGAGAGTACCCTGGTGGGACAGACCCATCAGATAAGCCATTTGAGAACAGAACATTCTCCATAGCCAATAGCATAGTGGAAGTGGGAGGGATTTGAAGGTGTGAACATTTGCAAGGGGTGTTGCTGGCTTTGAAGATGGACTGAGCCATATTTCAAGAAGAGAGGGTGACAGTATTTAGGAGCTGGGAGTAGCCTGAGGATGTGCTCCAGTCAGAAAATGGGGGCCCCAGTCCTTCAACAAAAGGATCCAAATAACCTGCAACAACCAGACAGATCCTAGAGGTGGGCTCTTCCCTCACATCTGCTCATCAGGGTCAAGGCCAGAAACAGGAGAAAAAAGGCCAAGGTTGGCCTGAGTGGCAACAGGGAGGTGGTGATGGTGCTTAGAATGTGAGAGGAGCATCCTGGGGAAATCACTCACTGCACAGACAACTGCAGGGCTGGTAGAAATCTAGACTTCAGAATGCTGCCACTTAGGGCCTCGAGGGAATTGAGGAAGGCCGATCCTTTCTAGGAGGCTGCAGAGTGCTCAGCAGAGCTAGGTACTGCCTAGGTATGTGGAAAGCAAGTGAGGGTGGCTGTGGCTGAGGAGGTGATGGGTGTGCACCTTGGAGTCTTCTTGCTACGTATGGTAAAATGCAAGAGGAGGGGTAAATGGAGGCAGGATTGATTAAAAAGAACAGAATCTGAGGATGTTGAAGTTTCTAGCATCACTAGATGGCCAGCAATGGGAAAAGCAAGAGACTCCCTGTTGGAAAAGTGGGCCCTTCAGCAGAGGCAAGGATGGGACTCAAGACTCTTCCCTGAAACCCAAAGGACAGGCCAAGAGCTGACTGCCTGTGTGGCTTCTTGATTTTGGCTCACCCTCCACCTCTTCCAGGGCTGTGCATTCTGCCTTTTGGGCAAAACTAGCAGGCAAGGAGTGGATACCCCATTGTATCCAAAACAGATCACCTGGGCTCAAAGCCCAAGTAGCCATTAGAGCCAAAGCTGAGAAAAGCCCATCAGCACTTGTGCACTAAAACAGAACAAAGTTATTAAAACAGGTTTTAGTAGGATCCAGGGTTTTCTATCATAATATTCAGAATGTGCAGTAGAAAATTGAGAATCACTTGTTATACCAAGCAGGGAGAAAAAAACAAAGCTGTCAGTGAGGAATTACAAATAGCCCCCCCCCCAAAAAAAAATTAAAAAATCTCAGCAAGCACATGTACTCATCATAAAGAAGAAGATGTAAATCATAGGACTGAAAAAGAGAGTAACTGTCACTGGGGCTGTCAGAGGATCAAGTCACTGGAGGGCAGACAAAAGAATTTACTCAATATGAGTAAGAGAGAAGTAGGTTGGGAACAAGTGAATAGAGCTTCAGGGACTTGTGAACAATGACAAGAGATCTTAAGTTCTGTAATTAGAATCTGAGGAGACAGGAAAGGGTATAGGGATGAAACAGTATTTGAGAAATAGTGGATGAAAATTTCCCAAATTTGACATAAGACACAGCTTATGGATTTGAAAAGTTGGGAAATCACAAAAGTGACAAATCCAAAGAAATCCATGCCAAGGCAAATAATAATTAAGCTTTTGAAACTTAGAAGACAAAGGAAGAATCTTAAAAACATCCTGATATTACACTAATTTGAATGAGGATAAATTTCTCACCTGAGACCAAGGAGGCCAGAAAGAC